ACTTAGTCTCAACTCTCCCCTCCCACTTTTCTTGTTTTGACTCTTCATATGTATAATGCAAACAATGTAGGGCAACACAGTCGGGGCAGAAAAATCTGCTTTTAGGCTTCCTTAATTCTGGGCAGCATGTGGATGCATTAATTATTCAGAAAGGGAATGTGATAGCTGATTCAATAATAACAGCTAGAATTTATATTGTACCTACTATGTGCCAAACAATGTGTAAGGACTTCTTAAGTATGATCTCATGTGAGCCTCACAACAACCCTGAGAGGGAGATGTTGTTATTATCCCCATTGTACAGATGAGAAAACTGAGGCAAACAACAGTTAAGTTATTCAAGGCCACAAAGCTAATAAGTATCTGAGGTTGGATTTGAACAGTGTTCTATCCACTGTGCCACTTAGCTACCTAGATTTGCCCACCAGGTATCACTCTTCTTGAGTACCCACCAATCCAGTAGCCATTTTAGTTCTTCTTTGGTACGTGTAGACATTTGTCTTGGCAAAGAAAAGAACCACCTTACCACGTGACACAAAGGTAAAAGAGGAGAAAATGGCAGAAGTCATCTGGGAGAAATTAGGTGATGGTGAGTGGAGATAAAGAGGAACAAGCATGGTATAGAATATTGCTCAAAATTTGGCGAACCTAAAATGTGTGACTCTTGAATCCCCATCCCACATGTGGAACCTTCTCTCTCCTTAACCCCTCACATTCACAGGACACAGGTACTCAACACATCAGGGCTACAGAGCTTATTGAACAATACAATAATGAAAGGAAAATGGTTGAGTGCCTCTATGTGGAGTGTCCACCTCCAATCATCCCCTCAAATATGACCCCACTTTCCCTCCTACTTCCTTATAGGGAGAATATTCTGAACCACTGTATACAGCCAGATAATAAAAAAGGAATAAAAAGTAGAATATTCAATTCTATTGAATGGGAGGAGATCCCAGAACTGGATCTTGGACTATATAAAGGACAAGGACACAGTAAGAGAAGCAGTCTTCCACCTTCAACTCATCAGCCTTGCAGATGTCACAATAGTGGTCAGACTTGCTCATTCTTGTCTCACCTCTGCTATAGGATCTGACTGATCTCCACAGTGCCGTTCTCTGGTGTCTCAATCCTTAGCCTAGAAAGTCTGATCCAACAGCAGTTTGTAGCTACCATAGCTCATGGTCCAAATTTCCTGCTTAGTTCATGGGGGTTTCACCACCAAGTGCAATAGCAGCAGCTTGCTCCCCGTGCCCATGTGACAATCAGGATGTTTACATCTTAAAAACAACAAAATAGGGACAGAGGTAACCAGTTCTAGATGCCAGCTTCCTGAGCCTTCTCCATCGGTCCTTTCCCAGAGAGGGAAGTATTGTCAAATCTCCAGGTTATCTTTCTCCCCAATCATCATAAGCTTGTGCCTAGAGGTAAATAGTAATTCTAAAGGGTAAGAGAACATGGTATGGATACAGTGGCAAAATATTGGTAAAGGTAAAGAGCCAGATAAATCTCCATCGGTGATTCTCCAGAAACAATCGCAGAGCCACAGTCATAAGATGAGTCTGCAAGTAAACTTATCCAGCCATGATTGGCGTTCTGGGACAAAGCTGATGACACAATTTATCACTACCATGGTAGTGGTAGTGGTAACATCTTTGCCTTAACCTTTCTGAGTACATCTCTCAATTCCTGGTATTGAGAAGGGAGTTCCACTAAGGATCTGGTAGTGGGCCTTGTTTGGGAACAGAATAGGTCTGTTCCTAGTAACATTTATGGCTTTACAGGGATCTGAACATGACTCCACCCTCAGTCTCATTCGACATCCAGAATTTGGGAAACCCCATCTTCTCATCTTTTTTCTTGTATGATTTTTTTCTTCCCACTGTTTTTTCCTCTAAGGTAGAATAACAGGTTCTATTTTAGAATAAAATATTCTCTTTTAGAATAATATGTTCTATTTTAGAGCTTTCTCAAGTATTTCTGGGAAAACACTGCAAAGTTAAAAGAATAATCACAAAACTTCCATCATGCCCGTGATGAATCAGAAGGAAAGTGCATAATTAATCTCTGAATTAAGGAAGCTTCCCAACAACCTCTTGCAGAAAGTCCACATTTTGCAAAAAATATTGCAGATTAATTCAAACATTTCAGCAAAGATTTATTGAACACCTAATATGTGCAGAACATATATCATGAATCTGCAGTGCCCATCTGGGAAGTTGACTCGTCCCCATGACTAGTCCCAGAACATGCTTCAGTTTATGAATTCTCCGCCTAATGGAGCTTCCAGAATTTATACAGCTAGGTCTCAGTTAGTACAAATAATGAATCCACTGCGGTGGTTGCATATATTTATATTCATACTATTTGAAGTTATAGTTATGTAAACTATGGTAATCTCTTTCAGCCCATTGGAAACATGTGGTGCAAATTCAAATAATGTAACCACTTCAGGGAAATTCATTATTTGCACTCGTTGAGACTGAGCTGTACTTACACACCTATAGTCAAATATTAAAAAATAGAACTCAGTACATGAAAGGAACTAAAACTTCAAACTGTACCAGATAAAATAAGTTATTTACTGGCTTCTGGAGTCCTTAAAGAGTTCATTTGAAAAGTTTGCAATTTACTTACTTTTAGGTCATGTGTAATTTGTTATTACTCTCATTAAATTTCTTTGATTTGGAAGTACTCTTCTACCAATTAATCCTGATTTTTTTTTCATAGTTTTAAACGGTTCGTGTGTGGCCTATTTCCTTATCATTATTGCTGTTTGGATTTCATTTTTTAAAAATAGAAACTAAGAATTTTTAAACTCTTAAAGATGAATTTTACCAAGACTTCATTTGCATGAGAGAATACTCATCTAAGGCACACTGGCCTATAACCATTTTGGGTTTCCATATCACATGATGTGCTTTGGAATTGGAATAAGAGAGTGAACAGAGGACTCATATCACTGTGTTTGTAATTCTTGGTTGTTTTCATTTTGGTCTTTTTTTTAAATTTTATTTTATTGCTGTAGAGAGCTCTTGTGAGGAAACACCCTTTGCAATTTATAGTCTTATATAGTTTCTAGGATTCTAAGAAGTTAAGTGACTTACCCAAGGTCAATCAATCAGCATGTGTCTGAGGCTGAGCCTGAATTGAAACCAGGTCTTCCTGACTCCCTTATCTGCTTTCTATACACTATGTCATATGACCCCTCCTAAGATAATAGTCTTGGGCAGCTAGGTGGGACAGTGGATAGAATGCTGGGCTTAGAGTCAGAAAGACTCGTCTTTGTGAGTTCAAATCTAGCCTGAGATACTTGCTAGCTGTGTAATCATGGGCAAGTCACTTAACCCTGTTTGTCTCAGTTTCCTCATCTGTATAAGGAGCTGGAGAAGGAAATGGCAAACCATTCCAGTATCTTTGCCAAGAAAATCCCAAGTGGGGTTATTGGACACAACTGAGAAATGACTGAACAACAAGATAATAGCATTGCTGCCCAAAAGTAGCATTTCCTAGCATGTTCATTACATCCCCCTTTGTTTTTTCCATAGTATTCAATTAAACAAGCTTACTATGTTCTAACTATGTGTGAAGCAGTGTACTAGAGGCTGGGGTTAAAAAGACAGGGGAAAACAACTCTTGTCCTTTAGAAGTCTACGTTCTGCTGGAAGGTAGCATTTATGGCAGTAGTAAGTCTACTTAGCCAATAAGATCTCAGAGTCATTGTCATTGCACTTATTGCAGGACCCAGAAAACTTTATTACAATTTAAGTATGAATTTAGAATTCTCAACAGCCATATCCAGTCCTCCTTTGAGGCCATATTTCTCAAAAAAAATATTTATGTGGGTTTTAGCCAAGAGTAACCTAAAGGAAATTTTGAAGTAGACATTAGTTGTCTTAGTGCTCCTTGCCATCCCTCTCCTCCCTCCTCTCCCCTCCTTTAAAAAAAAAATCTTCCCTATACTTTCCTTCTTCCTTCCAGGTGCCTAGCATTCATATCCTTTTGCCTTTTCCATCAAAACCACAGAAAAGGTGACAATTATTTATACTGTAGTGTGACAGCAATGATTTATACTTCTGTGTCAATTCAGGTCAGATCTTACCCTAAAGTATTCATATTTGTAACAAGAGCCTAATCAATGAAGGCTGCTTGCTCAGAGCATGTGCAGGTACGATTTCTGATGATTTCCAATCTCTGTACTCCATGGTTACAAGGGACATTTTTAACTTGGCTGCTGAAACAGGACTGAGAGGCAGGCAGAAGATTCCCACAAGAACAACTTGACTTCTTTCCACCCTAGCTGTGATTGAGAGAAGTCTGGATGGAAAAACACACCTTGGGCCTTAATGTCCTCACCTAGGTCCACACATGACAACTATCTGTCTGTCTGTCTCTCTCATTTTATCCTCGTAACAACCCTGTGAGATGGGTGCAATTACTAACCCTATTTTCCAGATGAAGAAACTGGGGCAGACAGAGGATAAGTGACTTCCCTAGTATCACACAGCTAGGAACTGTCTGAGGTCATCTTTGAACTCCAATCTTCCTGATGCTAAGTCCGGAGCTTTTACCCACTGTTCCACCCATTTAGCTGCCTCACGAAGTTGAATATTGGGAGAAACTAAGTGATGAGGAACTGTTTTCAGAGGTTAGGAAAAGATAATTGTAGTTACAATTATAGTTTGGGATGACTTGGCGTGATATTTGTCACAGAAAAAAACACTGTAAATGATTATTGATATCTTTATGTTATCAATGCTTATATTGTTAATCAACTGTGTAGGCAGTGCTCTTATTATTTGAATACAGGAGATTAGTGGTTTTTATACATAAGCAACCATTTATGGGAAAAGAAGTTTTTCCAGTTTATTAAATAAATAATATTTAATGAATTATGGGGAGATTAAAACTAGTTAATGAGAAAGAATAAATAATTTATTATGTTCATTATTGTTGTTATTATTTTATTTATTATAATTATAATTACTATTAAGAAAATATCAAAAAAACACAGCTGGATCATTTTAGAGATCAGGCAAAAGTCAATGACAAGACTGAGAGGTGACCTAAAAGAAGTGTGTTGCCAGTCCCAGGAACCTTAAACTTGCCACACATACACACATACACACACACACACACACACCAGACATGTATATCTTCTGGATCCTTCTCTTTGCAGATGATAGTAGTCTAATTTATTAAGCCTCCTTGTTTAGACATGGGATTCTGCAAAAGATTGAATTGCTATTTTACAGCCTGTGATAAGGAGTTAGATGGTTATTCCATTAATCTTCTGATACATACTACCATAGCACTACAGCTAGAAGATGAGTTGGGCCCAGAATTGAACAGGAGAAAGATAGAGTGTTTTATTGCATTTGGAAGCTTGTGCAGCACTTTCAATGATGCCAAGTGCTTCCCTGGCATCAAGACTCAAGTCTTTTATACAAAATTTCTTTCAGAGAAGCTGTGTGGTGTTGAATCTCTAAAAGAATCAAAACTGACAGGGGTTGGCCAAAGTGGGCTGAAGCACATTTCCAATAATGACCTACATGCAAGAAGTAGAATATTTTTTAAAAATCAAAGAATTATACAATAAGAAGGGAAGTGGGCCAGTCAAATAGCAAGAGAAAGGGACAATAGATGGATAGCTCTAGTCCTACACCCTCCTTCCCACCAGGATAAAAAGGTCCAGAGGAATGTTTCCAGAATATTGCACAAATTCCCTGTGGGAGATCTATGGGAGAGAATGGACAAGAATTACACAGGATGAAAAGGTCTGGATGAGTTGTGGTCTGTACCAATGGAGGGAGAGAACACATATATGAGATTATAGATGTATTGAAGTATCGTGACCAATGCTGAAATTGTTCTGAGAAAACAATTTAATACTTTGGTGCTTCCACATTAAAAAAAAATATCCTGAGGCACCGTGTCATTTTCACATCTTTGAGTATCCATTTCTTCTGCTTGACTTTCCTTTTCTTCAGAACCTGAAGTCTCAGGTGGCTTTGTATGTTCCAGGACCTCAACAATTCCGTAGAGCACCACTGACAAAATCAGTACTGAAAGTACTATGTATAGCTTGACGTAGACACACAAAAACGTGCTGTATCCAAAAGCAATGACAAAACCGAGGGACTCCCAAAGGCGATAATTGGCAAAAGCAGCCTCCTTATTCTTCACAAATAAAACTCCATAGATGGCTGCAAGGAAAAAAAGGAAGACATTATAAATTTATACTGAAACCATGCTATTTTTTATTTCTCAAAGAACCCATATATCACTGTTCCCCAAATATTCCCATCAAAATGTGCTTTAGCTAAAACAAATTACTGTTGTATGTTCAAGTTATTTTTTTATGCATTTCTGTAGAAATGGAAAATAATAGTATGCTATTATTAACTTATTGTTAGCTGGGCCATATGACAGTTAGAAGCCAGAAGGAAGCACCAGGTTCTCTTATGAAACTCATTTTAAATTTCAGCTCTGATGAAAATGACTGAAAGGTAAGTAACATTTATAGGATTTCTTTTCATCCTCACAACAACCCTGTAAATTAGGTGCTATTATTATCCCCACTATCCTAGCCCCAAACCATCTTCCTCGTCTCATGGGGTATTACTCCTTCTACCACACTGTAGGATAGAAGCAAACCATCTTCCATCTCTGTGCTGCTATTCTGGCCATCCTCCATGCCTGGAATGCTGTCCCATCTCACATACTCCTTATAGAATCACTCTTTTTACATGCCTTTAAGTTTTGCAAAGTGCTTATCTTATGTGTGATTTCATTTGATTTTCACACCAAGCCTGTGAAGGAGGTGCTGTTATTATTCCCATTTTAGAAAGGAGGAAATGAAAATTGAGAAAGGTTAAACGACTTGTCCAAGGTCACATAGCTAGTAAGTATCTGAGGGAGGATTTGAACTCAGGTCTTCCTGATTCAAAGTTCAACACTCTATTCACTGTATCACATAGCTATTTTTATTCTAGACTTGAAGAGGATGAAGAGGAAGTCCTTATCTTATCAATTATCAACTGGCTTCTGTTTGAATGAACATATGGCCTGTAAACAATGACATACAGTAAATGAACTTTTATCCTTTTGCTTTCATCAAAATTTCTGAAATAGTGGAAATGAGCCCTCTCTTCCACAACTCTCAGACACATCTTTCTGAACAGAAGGTTGTTTTTCCTCTCCTTGCCTTAGGGCACCTGCCAACAGGCTACTTAGCAGCTGTGAATCTGACAGCTGTGGAATCTCATGTCTTAAACGCCAAAATCTTTTGAGAATTATCTAAAAAATAATTAAAAAGTGCAAAGTACATGGATTAGTATATTCCTGGGAACATTTTAAAACCCTCTCATTTCTTTCTTTCTTTTTTTTTTTACAGAAGTCTTTAAAATTCAGTCCAAAAAGAGAAGCAAAGAGAAGAAAATTTTAATTGAGTTGAGAGCCTTTGTTTAATATTGCATTGGTTATATTTTTAATGCCACTTCCCCCTTCATAGGTTATAGGAGTTCAAACCAAATACAATAATGATTTGGTTTGTTAGCTAACCTAATGTGGGAAACTTCATTTTTAATCTAAGATGCCACTATTTTTAAATCTAATGATTGGTCTCCTTCAGTGATTTCAATTAAACCAAAATTTAAATTGTGTGAACAAGTCAAGCAATGAAGACAAGATAAGGCACTTCCTTGACTTTCTTGTTCTGGCCACCAAAGCACAAATCTATAATATGAAGAGATGGGGTTGTGGGACTAGGGACCTGAATGGTAGTCTAGGCTCTGCCACGCACAGCTACTGAAATCAGCCATATCACTCAGTCAATAATAAGTAGCAATAAGCTCTTACTATATGTACACCAGGCATTGTACTATGTGCAACACATTTAATCTCTGTGAAAATTCAATTTCCTTATGTGTCAGCTGGCTGTTGGACTTGATTTCTCAGGTTCCTTATATCCCTAAAATTCTGTGATTCTTTGATTCCAGAAATTAGTATTCTATAAAAAAAAAGCCCTCAGGAAGGGGAAGAAAGAGCAAAAGTGTCAATTACTGTGGGATCTCTGAATTCAAATTCAGACAAATATTTCTGAAAGAAGCAAAAAATTGGAAAGTGATAGTAAGAAAAGGACAGTCTGTCCCATGACTTAGAGATAGTATATGCCTTAAATGCCAGTTAGTTAAGAGAATGGGGTATACACTTATTTTTACCTTCTGTTGAGTTTTGTTTCATCTTTCTGATGATTCCTCCTATTGGTTTTAATTTGTACTTACAACTTCGCTAATGTGAAAATATGTTTAATGGGTATGTAAATGTAAAGCCTATATCAGATTGTGCATCATCTCGGGGAGGGTTGGGGGGAGGAAGGGGAAGAAAAAATTTCAACTCAAAAGCATATGGAAATGACTGTTGATAAATCAAAATAAATTAATAAAATTTTTAAAAAAGAGAGAATGGGGTATAGACTTGAAATAGGTAGCTGGTTGGAAAACGTATGATAAAAAAAAAACGCAAAGAGGAAGAAGTCTCTTCTCCTCTCTCCCACAAACTGGAAAGGCAAGTCTATTTGGCTAGGGTTTTGGCCAGAGAGAATCTTCTGATAAGACAAAGGAAAGAACCCTTTATCCTTTTCCATCTGAGGCAAGAAATTGCCACTGATGTGGAAGAGAATGTGGAAGAGGAAGGTGAAGTAATGAATACTCTCCAGTAGAAATATCTTACACATAGTAGGAACTCAATTAGGTTTGTAGAATGAATAAGTAGATTGTCCTCAGATGCATAAACGGACCAGCATTGGTTCAATAAATACCCAGAAAGAAAAAAAAAATCTATTGCATCAAGTTGCCATGGAAAGGAAATTCTTCTGGGTTATGTTATGGTGGCAAAAGAGACAGACGAATAGCAGAAGAAAAGGAAACTTAAAATAGCATAGCTCTCCAGTCTATTTGTCTCTGTCATTTGCTAGATGGTTAAATAATTGAAATGTGAAAGACATCAAATAGTGGGGACACAAAAAGTTTCATCATAAGGGAAACTTTGAAGACTTGTCCTGGGAACTCAGACATTGAGGTGGATTTGTGATCTCATTGATTTGAATGTGTCCTGAAAAACACATGTTTAATACAGTAAACAGAGAAACCAGATTTTTGGACTCCCTCAGTCCTGACATCCCCTTTAGCAGCTTATTGGGCAAAGGGACATTTTTAGAAGGCATTTTTGTATCTTAAAGGTCAATCCATGAGTGTTTCCATGGCAATTTTGCACATCTTTTATTAGCTATCAGAGTGAATAAAGAGATAGAAGTTCTCATGTCACACCCCTACTGTTCCAAGGGTTGAAGGAATTCCCAGAGCCCTCTGAGGTACACTAAGTGACTGATTCCACAATTATGCTAGAAGGGGAATAACCTCTCCTAGTTTTTATTCATTTTACTTCTTGCTGGAGATTCATTTCTCATTTCATAATTGAGAGGTGATATCAAAAAGACAAATCTATAAGACTGAATCTGCTATATTCAATTATAGATAATATATTTACTTTATTTTTTTTAAAAAATCATGTAATTTAAAGTTATGGCAGACATCATAAAATATTTAGAAGTCTACCTACTGAAACAAACCCAGGAACTATATGAAAACAATTACAAAACACTTTCCACACAAATAAAGTCATATCTAAATAATTGGAAAAACATCAAATGCTCACAGGAGGCCGAACTAATATAATAAAAAATGACAATTCTACCTAAACTAATTTACTTATTCAGTGCCATACCAATCAAACTCCCAAAAAATTATTTTATAGAGCTAGAAAAAATAATAACAAGATTCATTTGGAATAACAAAAGGTCCAGAATATCAAGAGAACTAATGAAAAGAAATGCAGTGGAAAGTGGCTTAGCTGTTCCAGATCTTAAATTGTAATCAAAACTACTTGGTACTGGCTAAGAAATAGAGTGGTGGATCAGTGGAATAGGTTAGGTATGCAAGAAACAGTGGCCAATAATTATAGTAATCTACTATTTGATAAACCCAAAGCCCCCAGCTTCTAGGATAAGAACTCACTATTTGACAAAAACTGCTGCGAAAACTGGAAAAGAATATGGCAGAAACTAGGCTTAGATCAAAATATCACACCATATATCAAAATAAAGTCTGAATGTGTTCATGATTTAGGTATAAAGGCTGATACTATCAGCAAACTGGGAGAGCAAGGAACAGTTCACCTATCAGATTTTTGGAGAACAGAAGAATTCATGACCAAAAAACAAATCAAAACAAGTCTGAGGTACCACAGCACTCCTATCAGATTGGCTAACATGATAAAACAGGAAGACAATAAATTTTGGAGAAGATGTGGGAAAATTGGAACACTAATGCGTTTTTGGTGGAGTTGTGAAACAATCCAACCATTTAAGGGCTATAAAATGGGCATACCCTTTGACCCAGCAACACCACTTCTAGGGCTGTATTCCAAAGAGATAACGCAAGTGGGAAAAGGACCCATGTACAAAAATATTTATAGCAGCTCTTTTTGTGGTGGCAAAGAATTGGAAATTGAGGGGATGCCCATCAATTGGAGAATGGCTGAACAAGTTGTGGTATATGAATGTAGTGGAATACTATTGTGCTATAAGAAATGATGAGCAGGCAGACTTCAGAAAAACCTGGAAAGACTTGTATGAACTGGTGCTGAGTGAAATGAGCAGAACCAGGAGAACGTTGTACACTGTAACAGTCATGTTGTGTGATGACTAATGTTGATACACGTAGCTCTTCTCAGTAATGCAAGGATCAATGACATCTCCAAAGGTCTCATGATGGAAAATGCTATCCATATCCAGAGAAAGAACTATGGAGTCTGAATGCAGATTGAAGCATAATTTTTGCTCTTTTTTTCTCTTCTATTTTCTTTTGTTTCTTCTTTCTTGCAGTTCCTCTTATTGGTTCTGATTCTTCCTTACAACATCACTAATGTGAAAATGTTTAATAGGAATGTATATGTATAGCCTATATGAGATTGTGTGCTGTGTTGGGGAGGGAGGAGGAGAAAAATTTTAAACTCAAAAGCTTAAGGAAGTGATTGTTGATAAATTAAAATAAATTAATCAAAAAAGAAAATGAAAAAAATCATGGAGATGAAGAAAAGGTTTGTAAATCTGACCCAAAGACTAAAATTTTGGGATGGTAACAAA